GGCCGTGGGGGCCACCGGCGCCGCGCATCGCCTGCGGGCCCCGCCGGGCGGCCTCTGCGCGGACGGGAGGCGAGGGCAGAGCCCGAGGGGAAGCACAGGAGAGACGGGGCGAGAGGGGAAGGTTGGGTGATGGAGAAGAGGGAGGGGGCAGACACGGAGAGAAACACGGAGAGATGAGGGCCAGAGATAAAGGGAGACGGAGACAGATCGAGAACGGAGATGGGGAAGGTGACAGAGGCAGTGGGATCCAGATAGTGAGAGAAGACGCAGAGTCAGGATGAGAGGGGAAAGTTGGGTGAGAGACAGAGAGACAGCAGCATGGAGAGAAACAGATGGAGAGAGAGAGACAGACAGACCAGAGACAAGAGACAGCGGGAAAGGCAGTGGAGGGAGTGGAAGGGAAAGATGGAATCCAAATAGAGGGAGAGGTGGGGGGGAAGATGGAGGAACGGAATGTGGGAACCAGGAGACACAAAGGCGGGAGGGGGTGAGTAATGGGGTCAGGGAAGATACAGAGGTAAGGGAGGGAAGGAGACAGGGATGGGATGGACAGTGGTCATTCCGATGGGAAGGAGACCCAGAGATGGGACAAAAACGGGAACAGACCAGAGTGAGGCCAGAGGAGGGGGGACAGTCAGAAATGGTCAGGGAAGGAGTAAGGAGGGATGGAAGGGGAGGCTCAGATGGACACAGACCCGAGAGAAGGACCAAGCGAGAGGAGGGTGGTGAGACAAGGAGAGAGGAAGAGATACATGCAGGGAGGCGGAGAGATGAGAAAGTTGGGGGGTATAGAAGGCAAGCCCAGAATTGGAAGGCAGGGACCCACAGCCACCCAGAGTCAGGCAAACACCAACCTCAGGAAGAAGGAATGGAGATGGAGGAAAGCAGGCAGAGCAAATGAAATACAGAGAAGACAGAAATAGCGAGGCAAGGCAGAGACCCAGACCCCCACCCGGGAGGTGCCCAGCACAGACATGAAAGCAAGGCAGAGCCAGGTGGCCGAGGGAATGAGAATAGAAGGAAGAAAGTAAGGGGGGAATGAGAGGAAAAGGGGGTCAGGGCGTGGGGAGAGAAAGAGGGGAGAAATTAGTGGGGTGTACAAGGAGAGAAAACCCCACCACCCAGCCATCCTTAGCCCCTCCTCCTGTCCCTGCCCCCTCACTTTCATTCTTGATGAAACTGAGTCACAGGCCAGTCTTGGGGTGGGGGCACAGCTGTGGAGCACTGAGGGGGGGGGGTCCCTGGCTTCCAGCCCAGAGCAATTTAGTAAATTAAAGGAAGTGTTGCCTCCAGTGCCCCCTGTTGAATACTAGTCGCCTGGGGTGGGTGGCCCAAACCCCAGGCTCCTGGGTACCAGGTCTGCGGAGGAGGCCCTGGGGGCCTGGTCTCTGCTCCCAGAAAGCACCAAGGCCTGTACTGGGGGCTTCCTGAATGGGTCAGGGTCCTGGTACAGAAGGGTTCTCTCTTGGCTGTCAGTCTCCTGTCTGGTTGCCATGGTAGCACAGGCTTGTCCATTCTAGACAGCAAGGGTTGGGGCAGAGGCCCACACCCCCTACCCTGCCTGGAAACCTCATTCTCCAAACTGCCATCCCACCTTTCTGGAGGTCCTGAGGCTCCGTCTCCCCGGGGAAGGGGGCGTCTCCCCCGGGAAGGGGGCGTCTCCCCCGGGAAGGGGGCGTCTCCCCCGGGAAGGGGGTGCCCCCTCCTGCAGGCCATGCCTCCTCCTGTCGCTCCTCTCCATTGCCTTTCCTTCCCTAAGCAGCTGGCTCAGTCCGTGCTCAGAATAGCCCCCCCCTCCTCCCCAAAATAACGCACAGCTGTGGCCTGGCCCCTGCGGGGTTAATACTGGCTCTCCTCTCCCTTCCTGGTGGCTGCTCAGCCATCAGCCCCTCCTTCGCTTCTCAGACCCTGGCCTCTGCATTTTTGGGGTCCAAGGTCCTTGCCACTGTGAGGCCTAGGAGGGCAGCCTCAGCCTCACCCCTGCCAGGAGGCAGGGCTTCCCCCTAAAGGACTCCTGAGGGCAACCTTTCTACCCAGCCCTCGTACCCCAGGATCAGTCTCCTGAAGCCGAAGTCCCCAGAGCTCACGACAGGGTTGGCAAAGTCCATTCCGACCTCCGCCACATGAGTTTAGCCATGCACTTCCATCCCCACAGGGGCCTAAGAAGCCATTCCCCCAGCCCGCTCTGTCAAGAGTCCTGGCCCTCCTTTCTCTCATGGGTGCCCCCCCTAAATTCCCGACTGAAGACTTGGCCTGGCAGGTACCCCACCTCCCCCAGCAATGTAGAGCGGTCATTTCTTTCTCAGGACCCGGGGATCCTGGCCTCCTGCCCCAGCAGCTGGGAATCTTGGTTCCTGTCTTGTACTCCTTTAAGGAACCCCCCTTTTTCGCCTCAGACCCCATCAGTCCCAACATCTTGCTGCCCACTAGCTCTGGCCTTTCCAGGTGCTCCTCTCCTGTCTTGCCCAGAGCGTAAGGAGGAAGGGGGTCTCTGTCTCCGTTGCCCCCCTAGCCCACTGTGGGGATGGGGAGAGGCTCTGGTCAACAGCTGCCCCTCCTCGTGCTGCAGAAAGCTTCCTGCCCCCCACTGCACACACACCAGCCAGTGTCTCCCCATCCCAACCCCGGAAGGGCATTCCAGAACCTTGAGGAAGGGGCGGCTGCTTGGGGCTGCCGGTCACTGGACGCCCTCAAGGTCCTTGGCGGGGGTATTAATAGCAGACTCATAGCTCTGAGGTGGGAGGGGAAAGGCAGAGGAGACAGGGATAGCCAGCCATGGGGAGACTGATGCAGGAAGGGGGTGTAGAGAAGGTGAGGTGGAGAGACTGACAGAGGTGGGATTCGGTTGTGCGCAGCCAGGGACAGGGTAAAGCTCAGGGGAACAGAGGCCTGGGGTGGGTTTGAGGTGTGGAAACCTGGGAGAGGGGCAGAGAGTGAGCGCGCGAGAGCAGACGGAAGACTGAAGACGGTCCCTGAGGGACAAGGGGGCAGAGACGTTTGGTTTGCTGGCGTTCAAACCCCTTCCCTCCTTGAGGTCCCTGGCCAACTTTCCCTGCCCTAGATTGGAAGGGGCCACATCCCCACCCCCACCCCTGCATCCCCTGCCCCAGCCTTACCTTTTCATGACCCTGTTCTGTGGGGGGGATTGCTGGGGGGCCAGGACCGGAACCAGTGTCCAGAGACCCAAAGATTCCGTGGAGTGTTGGGGAGCTGGTTGGGGGCCAGGCCCAGGGCGGCAGCGAGGCAGCAGCAGCAGCAGCAGCAGCAGCGGCAGCAGCGGCAGCAGCGCAGGCGGCAGTGGCGGGGACCTTTTGCCTGTCCCGGCTCTGTCCCTCCTCTTCTTGGTTCTGCCCTGCCCTGTCCCCCAAGGTTGCGGCCACCAGGCTAGGCAAGGATGAGGCTACACATGTTGCGCTGGAAGTTGGGCCCCGGACATTGCGGAGGCTGTTGGGGTGTCCTCTTGCGGCCTGACCCCATGGGGATCCCCCTCCACCCACCTGGGGTGCCCCCCTCTGCCGGCTTCAGTCCGGGCTCCTCCCCTGGCTGGCATGTCCCATCACCTCTCCCTAGCTTATTGGCATCCCCTTTGTGCTCTCGGCACCCCTCCCTTGTCTCTGTCTGTCTGTCTGTCTGTCTGGGTCACCTCTGAAGCCAGTGGCTCGGGTATGTTTGTGTCAGGAGCGTGAGGCTGCCGATCAGAGGAACCGCTTGCCCATTGCTTGCTTGGCCACCTCTGGACCCCCCCTCTGTTGCCCCCACTCTCAAGCACAGGCAGAAACACACATGCACATGCTCACACACACAATCTCACTTCCCTGGGATTCCCTCTCAACACCCCCGGAGCTTGATGAGGGAGACACACACACACACACACACACACACACACACACACACACACGCTTGCGCAGGGCCCCAATAGGGGCGCGTTGTCACTGCTCTCGGTGGCTGTTTGGACAGACAGACAGGAGGACACAGGCATCCGGGGACACACAGATACTCGGCTGGATGCAGGCAGGAGGCACAGAACCCAGGTGCACACCATCCATCCAGGTTTGGGGGCTCAGGGAACCGATTGGGGGTCCGTGAAGTGCAGGCAGGAGGCTCAGGGTCGGTCCAGACAGACAGACCCCTCCTCCCTCAGCTCCGGCCGCTGCAGCCCTTACAGACACACCCCCCCCACCAGCCAGCCTGACACCAAGACACACTTCCTCACCTAGCAGATGGCTGTAGCACGAGAGACCCCTGGGGGCCGGGCGGACCCACCCAGGCCGATACCCCTCAACAGGGCGCTGGTGGCCGAGGAGGCTGCGGGCGGGCGGGCGCGGGCGGAGGGTGGCGGGTAGCGGCAGCGGCAGCGGCAGGCAGCGGCCACGGCTTGCAGGAGCCAGAGCGTGAGGGACTCACACACTCGCTGTGTTCTCGCACACTCACTCAGGATGCGATTAACATTCAGTCCCCGTCCTTCCCTGCCAGGAGACCCACAGCCCCCCCTCTCGGCTTCCCTAGGGACCCCTCCTCCTGTTGGGGCTGAGGGAGGGGGCCGCTCCTTACCCCATTTTGAAGCCTCTGTTTTCCTCATGGGACATGAGACTGAGGGCTGCGATGAAATGGGAGGAAGCAGAGGTGGGTGGACAAGGGCATTGCCGGGCACAGACAGTTTGGGACCTAGACAGGGCGTTGGGGGTTACTGAAATCGCCCCTTCCCTCTTCTGGACGTCGACATCCTGTGAGTACTATGGCCCCAGAGGCAAAATGCAAGCTGGATGTCTACCGTAGGGCAGACATCCAGTCTAGACTCCCAAGTGCCTTACCCCCTGGAAGCAGACGTCCAGTTGCTAGCCCACCTCCCTTAGACCCAGCACACTAGACCCCAGTTTCCCCGATAGACTGATGGGTGGGATCCCAGTCCTCTCACCTCAGGCTGCAGCCCTCTTCCCTTAAAGCCCACGGGGCTAGGCTTGCAATTCCCTCCTCCCTCAGACCTAGATGTCCTGTTCTCTCTCAGACCCAGGTGTCCAGACCCTGGCACTCTTTCCTGTGACCCAGGGGTTTACATCCTAACCATCCTCCCTCCGACCCAGGGGTCCAGACCCTCCCAGGATCCCAAACCTTGGCTCTCCTCTCTCAGACTTGGGGGTCCAATGCCTGGCCCTTTCTTTCAGAACCAAGATTCTAGATGCCAGCCCTCCTTCCTCAGACCACAGGTCCAGATCTTAGCCTTTCTCCCTCATGTTAGGGGTCTAGATTCTGAGCAAGACCATCACTGAGGGACCAGTTGATCAGTGATGGACTCGTCTCTCCTAGTCATGGGTGCTCAGTCCCCTGGAGGGAAACTGCCTGCTGTGTCCTCACCATAACCCCACCTTTGTGGTTCCAGGAAGTCATCGACCCATCTTACCTCTGGTAGGGCCGTCCTTAGCATCTACAACTCCGGAAGGAGTGTGTTTTGGGACTCCTGGACCCCTGAGGATGGAAGCTGGGAGTGGGTAAAGAGAGACGGGGTGGAGGAGGAGATAGAAAGGGAGAGGAAGGGGAAAGGAGAGAGGGAGGAGAGGGAGGAGAGAGAGAGAGAGAGAGAGAGAGAGAGAGAGAGAGAGAGAGAGAGAGAGAGAGAATATGAATGTGTAGAGTGGGGAGAATTCTGGAGCAGGGGCTGGGACCTAGGCCTATAGCAATCTTATCAGACTCCTGCCCTATGCTCACTGTTGGAGTCCTGTTTCCTGTGTCCTAAGATCTGGGAGGACATGAGTGATGCTGTGTCTGAAAGAGCCAGGACCTGAAAGTTTGGGTCTTAGAAGAGAAAGGGATTGTGGATGTAGGTTAGAATGTTGAGTGATAAAGTGACTGTCTGTCAAGAAAGGGATTGTAGAGGCAGTAGGCTGGGTCTGGATCCCAGGATATGTGGCAGGCGGGCCTGGACCTTCTCCCTGAATTGGGACTAGAGAACACTGAGGAAGCCAGAAGTCTACCCTCTTAATCTCCAGGATTATTGTTGTTGTTGTTACTATTAGTAGTATTAGTATTAATTTGTAATTAGTATGATTGTCATTATGGAGCCCTGAGCCTGGAACTGGGGATCCCTCTGCTTCATCCTCCCAGTGCTAAGATTTAAGATGCACCATCTCCCTAGGCAGCTCCAGGATCTTTGGAGTTCAGAACTCAAGCTCTGGGATTCCTGCTAAGGGCAGGGAGCGTGGGATCCTAAAGACCCTTCTGATTAGTAGAAGGCAAGAGGACAGCGTTATTCGGTACGACTCTGCAAGGCAGGTGGCGGGAGACAGGGGGCGCCAGAGAGCCAACCCGCCCTCGGGGTGGAGCTCCAGCCCAGACTCCTCCCTTTCCACCCTTGGCCCTCCTCCCTTTTCTCGCTGCCAGCTCTGCCACCAGCTCCGGCCTCGGCTCACCTCCCAGGGCCCCCTCCCCGGAGCTGAGCTACCGAAGGGCTCCTCTCTCGCCCTCAACCCAGCAGCACCACAGCTCCGGGGCAGCCGGGCCGGCCAGCCTTCCCCCAGCTCAGTCCTGCCCGAGCTCCCCAGTCATGAACCTCTTCCGATTCCTGGGAGACCTCTCCCATCTCCTAGCCATCATCTTGTTACTGCTCAAAATCTGGAAGTCCCGATCGTGTGCGGGTGAGAGCCCCACCCCGCGGAGAGGGGGCGGGAGCGGGCCGCCCTGGGGTACCGGGAAGGCTGGAGCTCGACCGGACAGAGTCCTCCCGGACTGCCTGCTGGGTATCCTTCTAGATCTAGGGTCACCAGGGGGTCAGCTCCTTTCCCTAGACTCAGGGGTGCACATAGTTTGGTGGGGGTGGCTTCGGGCGCTCAGTTGAACCTTCTGCAGCACCCTTTGGGACAGCTATGGGTGTTCCGGGGCTGGGAACCAGGAGCCATGGCAGGCGGGGAGGTGGCTGGGAGTTGGTGACGTGGACTGTAAAGGCCAGGAAGGGAACGGGAGGAAGGTGACTGGCTGAGAGGCTAAAGTCAGGCAGGGCGCTCCCTAGGTCCCAACGTAGGTCCACACTGTCAGGGGACCCTGAAGGAGACAAGGGGACCAGCGAGGCCTAGCCTGGGACGGAGCCTCGGTCTGTAGTATCACTGGGGCCGGCTGCCCCCTGGCTGTGGATGGTGGGAAAAGGGCCGTGCTCAGGCTTCAAGGCCTTTGGGGACCGCTGTGTTGTAGAGTTCCGGCCGGCTGGCCCAGGCACTGCACTTTAGTTTATTGCCCAAGTAGTCCACCTCGGCTCCCTCTACCCTGCCCCTTGTTCTCTGTCTCAACCAGGCATTTCAGGGAAGAGCCAGGTCCTGTTTGCTGTGGTGTTTACTGCCCGATATCTGGACCTGTTCACCAACTACATTTCACTCTACAACACCTGCATGAAGGTAGAGCTGAAGTCAGAGCTGTGGCAGGGTTCCAGGCAGGGCTCAGAGAGGAGTCTAGTCTGAGGGAGGAGGGCTGGAGTCTGGATATCCGGGTCTGAGGGAGGAGGAACTCATTATCTAGACTTTGGTCAAGTATGGAAGACTGATGTCGAGGCATTTAGGCATGAAGGAAGAGAGCTGGGTCTGGACATCTGGTTTGAGGGAGGTGGGCTGGGAACTTGCTTTCCAGTGTCTGAGCCTACTGAGGGGAGGCCGCACCTGTAAGCTGCCCTGTCTGTCCCCCTCAGGTGGTCTACATAGCTTGTTCCTTTACCACGGTGTGGATGATCTACAGCAAGTTCAAAGCTACTTATGATGGAAACCATGACACTTTCCGGGTGGAGTTCCTCGTTGTTCCCACGGCTATTCTGGCTTTCCTGGTCAACCACGACTTCACCCCGCTGGAGGTTGGTTTCTGCGGGGACTGCAGGGGTTGGGTGGCAGGGGCAGCTGACAGCAGGTCCTCTCATGCTCAGCCTAGGTCCATGGAGGCAGGTCATACCATGTGCTGCTGCTCTGTGCAGTCAACATGCTGGCAGGCTAAGTCCATATAGAGTGGCACCCCATTTTCAGATGAGGAAACTGATCCTTAAGTCATCTGAATGTCCAAGGGCATCTAGTCCTGTAAGTAGTGGACTGACCAGGGGTTAGGAGTGGGGAGCAGGGCTCTAGAGTGAAGCTACTTGAATTTGAACCCCAGATCTACATCTTATTTGTCGTTTCCCCCCCGAGAAGTGTTGGAGAAAAAGTCTGGGGCCTTGTGCATGCTAGGCTAGTGTGCTGCCCTGGGACCACAGTGTCAGTCATTGGTCTTTTGAGACAGGGGCTTACTATGGTTCAAAAGCTGGCCTGGAACTTCCAGTTCTCTTGCTTCAGGGCCTGGATTATAGGTGTATGTCACATCTCCCAGTATTTCTACTATAATGAATTCAGCCTGTGACTTGTCCTTCTCTGCCTTAGTTTCCCCATTGTGAAGTGGGTCATGTGAGAGTTACTGAGTTCAGGGCTGCTCACGGGTTACATGAGGAGGCTGTGGATTTGAGGTGCAGGGCTTGGAAGCTTGTTTCTTCAACCGGACACTGGTGGAACCATGGGCAAGCGTACGCCTGAGTCTTTTGTAAATGGGGAACGGGGCTGGAGATGGCTCAGCCTTTAAAGCTAACAACTAAAAGGACACACAGCCAAGAGGACAAAATGAAGAAGTCATTCCCACTTCTCACATCCTTTTCTGTGGTGCAGGGTAGAGCCTCGTCCTGTGCACTCAGAGTTCCAGCCTTCTTAGCGCTATGGAGGTTGATGTTTACAGATCCACGTCTGGCATGAGGTGGGAGGGACTGGGTCAGCATTGCTGAGGGACTGGCTAGTGCCATGCGGGACACTTCACCTCCAGGTGTTGGCTGTCTTTATTTTTCACTCTTGGTGTTTTGGTTGGGTCTGTACGTGCTCCTTGGAGGAATTTTAGGGGCTGTGCTGAGTCTGCCGACTCGTGCCTGCCTCACGGGCCGGAGGGAGCCATCAACTGGAGTGCTTTTCCTCTGCAGCCCGCCCTGGCTTACGGGAGCAGCCCTGGGTGGTCAGTTATGCTGAGGTGTTCAAGAGAAGCTGTAATGGGGAGTCCTCAGACAAGATCTAGCTTCAAAGTTTTAGCAACATATTCAAAATGTATTTCTTTTTTCTTCTTTTTCTTTTAAAATTACCAATGCCAACTATGTTTCAATCCGTCATGGAAGGGTATTGGGAAAAGTCTTTTTTTTTTTTTTTAACTTTTTTTGTTTTTTGAGACAGGGTTTCTCTGTGTAGCCCTGGCTGTCCTGGAACTCACTCTGTAGCCCAGGCTGGCCTTGAACTCAGAGATCTACCTGCCTCTGCCTCCCGAGTTCAAGTGCTGGGGTTAAAGGTGTGCGCCCGGTTGGCAATACTTGCACCTTGGATAAACCTCATTGGCTATGATATTGGCACTTTGCAAAGCCCAAGATGTTTTTCTCAAAGCACTGTGCAGGCTAAAGTCAACATTGGCCCATGGCCCCGAAGTACCAGAGTGGGTGACTGTTGTGATGGGAGCCCTGGACTGGGCACTAGACTCTGGCTGTGTAAGTGTGCGTGATTGATTCTCTACCACGGCTGAGTTGGAGCTACTG